AGGGGAGGAGCGACGCATCGAGCCTTCGAATGAGCTTCTGGCTTTGCTGGATGGCTGAGGGAAGCCAAAAGGATCAGAGCGAAATGCCCAAAGTGGGCGTGCATGGCGTCCTTTGGAATGGGATGAAGGGAGTCAGGATTCTGGATTCAAACAAATGATTGGGGCACTTTTTGTTGAACAAAGCAACACACTGGGGTTCAGGGCTTGGTCCCATTCACTGCTTTGTTCTTTTGGGTTGAGGGTTTGGTTTTTCTCATTTTCGATCAGTTCCATTTAACTATGCGAATACATTTCACATGAGCCCAGCGGTTCGGGAGGGTGCTATAGGGAATGATGTTTCGGCGATTGGAATTTGATGGTAAAATGGTTGAACGTGGTTGCAGGTAAGCATGAAGATTATTGCGCTAAAGGGTTTGACTTGATCCTTCTCCCGATTTGTGGCAGGTTCTTGAGTTGGTACCCTTGCGTTGTTCAAAAGGGAAACCAAAGGAAGAACCCAAATTTCCGGGCTCGCGTTCGAAAGACGAGCGCCACCCCCCCCCCATTGGCCATGTCAGGTGGTTCTACTACTTGCTTTGATTGGGATACAGTAAAGCTTACATAATCCCTCAAACACGTGAAGACAATGCTAGAGTCAATGGGCATTGAGCGCTGCTCACACGAAAACAACCGCAAGTCACACTTGCCAACATAGCTTTGAAGACCTCTCGGTCATCTTTGGGTTTTATATGGCTATGAGTTGTAACAAGGAACCATCTCGAAAGTGGTTGGTTGGTGGACACGAGTCCCCAGCTAAATGATGTCCACCAAAGGGTCCCCCATTGAATTGCATTCCCATACAATCTATGTATTGACCACTGGTGTTTCCATAACCCCAGACGTTAGTTCCGTTAGTTTGTTTGCACTGAACATCCATAGCCACGACCAGAGGGACGGGGAAGCCTCGATGCCAGGAGCTGAGGCTTTTCGAGGCCGAGAATGACACAGCTGGGCAGGTGGCCGCTCTGAGGACGGGGATGAATTAGACGGGGTCATCGAATCTGGCGGGTTGCACTAAGCAAGAGTTGAACTAAAGACAAGCTGTGGGTTTGCTTCTGTTGTTGGTTTGATGTTTTTGTGTTGTTTTGTCTTATTGTTTGAGGGGTGGGGAAGACTAGGCTGGGTACCCTCTTGAGGATTCTTCCCCTGCAAATTAACATGGAGCGACATCTGCAGGGGAGTAATGTGGACCCCCCAAAGACCATTATCTATGAGCATCTTGTCTTGGGGGACCCGGTTGATGGGTTCCATGTTGGACTTCCAGCTTGGGGTGGACTTCTGCTTTGCTTCCGAACGGGAGGGGGGGGTGACGACTAGAAAGGCCCGTTTCAAGGTGCGGCATCAACCGGTTCTTTATGGGGATTGTCAAAGTCCCACCCTGGTTGGGGAATCACGAAAATGATCCATTTGCCGCAACCCTGCCAAGAGTTGAAACCAAACTTTACTGGGTGCCTTCATCACCTGCCTGTTTGGGGGTTATCTTCCAGGTTGCAATTGGCAGACCTGTGATTTCCTCCAAACGCGGCAGGTTATTGGCGTGATAACTTCAACTTTTGAAGCTCGTCCATTTGCTGAAAAAGGGTGCTTCGTTTTGTTTGCGATATTTTTCTTCTGCGGTTTCAGGTCATTGCTCACGGTTTGGTGGCACCTCAAGCACCCTCGGCCCTTTGAATCATTGGGTCATCCCCCCGAATTCCGGGAATCATTGAGAAAGTCACATCTTGGCCCTCGAGGATCCCCCCCAATTTTGGTATCATCATCCTCCTTTTTTCTTACCAGCAGAAAACGGAGTGGTGCCATCCACTTTCACCCTGTTTGTTTTTCAGAGACACGGTGTACGTCCCGGTGACAAGGAACACACGGCGCATGTCCTCTGCGTGTTTTTCGGGAGGATCCTGGGGGACTTCTACATCTCCGCGGGCATCTACGGCGAGGCCCGCAGCGCCTTCCGGAAGTCTCTGGCGCTGCTCAAGGGCCTGGACGCCTGCGAGACAGAGGCACCGATCGGAGCATCCAAACCCGGAAGGGCCGTCTTAGCTGGTCTTTGGCTGCATCCAATGGTCCAAAACCCCTGGCTTCATGAAAATAGTGCCTTTGAGCTAAAGCCACGTGCTGGGGGGTTGGTTGGTCCGAACTCTCAAAGGCTTGCGTGAAGCAGATCCCAACACGACTGCCTTTGGCGTCCGGCCACATTTGACTCTGTGGATAGCCTTTGTAGCTACGGTAGAGCCAAAAGTCAATGGCTGAATTGGGCGCTGATGGATTCGACGGCATGGGAGCTGCAAAGTGCGGCATGGGAGATGCAGCTGCTATTTCGCCATATAAAGGGTGCAAACCGCGTTTTTCTCCTGGGAATAGTGGTTTCGGGGCAGTGAGAGCCCTTTTGAAGTGAAAGACCTCTCAAAGCTGCAGTTGGGTATGTGTGTAAAACAGAGATTTGGAGGCCCAAAGTGGTGGTTTTCCTTTTGGCTTCCCTTTAAACCAACCTCAGGGTGCTCGCGATTTGTTTGGGTTCGTTCCGTTTCGCGCAAACGAGCGTTTCGGAATTTTGCAGCTGATTCCGTGCTTCGACCCGTTTGGTTTCAATTGGTTTTGAGTGACTCGATCCAACTCGCTCCATTCCAGCCATCCAGCCTTCCAATGTGGAAGCCCTCCCCCCAAGTTCACCTGGCCACAATCAAAATCCAGGTCAGTGAAGGTTACTAGGGGCGGTTGCCAGAAAAATGGCGGATACAGGCACTCTAGTTGCGCTTCAACATCAGGTGCAGATTCTGACTCATGCCCTTAATTCCCCCCACATTGACCTTGGGTAATGTGTGACTCTCGGAGCCCGGTGTTTTGCACCCAGGTGCAACACCTTCTGCTGCTCTCACAGGTGGAAGAGCTCATGGGGGCGCACGAGGTGGCTGGTTTTTTGTTGGTCTCGGTGGGTGGGAAACAAGACAATCCATATATATATATATATGTATTATATATAATATATATATATATACACATTACATGTTTTTTTTTGACCGGACCCGACTTTTGGCCGCTTTCAAAGGCAAACTGAAAGGAAGCCAACCACTTTGCGGTCCCACAATTCATTCCCTCAAGTAGCGAACTGGAGTGGAGTTGGGATGCAATCACATAGCCTTGACTAAACCTGAAGCGCACACTAATTAGCATTTCCGCTTGGGTGAAAAGAGAGATGGCGCAAAATCTCGTTCAATTTGGGTTTCAGCACCTCTTTTCCTGAACGAAAGGGAACAGCACCAGCTAGTTTAACAGGGCTTAGCTTCAGTCATTGGAACATGGTGCTCTCTCATTTAACCTGACGGAGATCGGGTGATCTGAGACGTAAATGGCCACCACCAACCTCGACTTTCGCGATGTGGCCTCGAGGGAGGTGGTACCCGCAACAGCAATACTCAATTCAAGGAAACACTATTTTAGCACAAGAAGCTGAAAACAACGACATAGTCAAGTTATCGACGTAATTTAAACAAATGCATCCAACAACAAGCATATGAATGGACAAATAACATGTTATTTTCAAGACCTGGCCTTCAATTGATGTTTTTCTTCGCCGTCTTTCTCCGCCACGAGTGGTGGGAAGTTGCGTAGAGATCCACACCTTTTGGCTTTTGGCATCCGGCGAGGGAAGAGGGGGAGGGGTGAAGCAACGGACGGGGGGCGATCAAGAGACATTTTGAAAATCAAGAAGGTCGCGTCTCAAATGCCCAGAAGATAGCTTCTCGTATTTACTGACTGGTTCAATTGGGAAGTGTGTTGGGTATTGGAGCCGGTTGGCCGCAACATGCACTCCAAGTATCCCTTCAGGCGGCGGAGCGCGCAGCCCAGTCCGCGCTGGCGCTGGCCAAGCGCGCGCCAAGTGCCTCCGCAGAGCTGCCGGCGGCGCGGCGCGCGGCGTCGCGCCTGGCGGCGGCGCAGGGCCGCGCGCCGGAGGCGCCGAATCGCCAAATGGCGCTGGAGGACGGGCAGCCGTTGGTTGCTCAATCTAAGCTTGGAAATGAACAATGAAAACCAATGCGGCCAAGTACCGGAACTACCTTTAGGTGGTTTTGGTTGTTTTATTTTTTGCAAACCCAGGTTTTCGTGGTGTTACGGTGAAACACTTTCTTGACTAGCCAGGAGGTTAACATGATGCCCTTAAACGTAATAGGTTTGGGTGTAGGGGGATGCTCTTTAAAAAAGTGTTCCTCTTTCTTGAGGGTGTCTGTTTGTTGAGGGCGTTGAAACTGTTGCATGTGGGATTCCTTTACATATGAAGGAAGTGGAAAGGGATAGATTACCTGATAGATACGCGGGGGATGCTCATGGTCAAAGAATGCTTTGAAAGCTTTCTGATGGCCTCCTTATATGGGTATCGTTTTTGAGCTTTCCAGCCACCTATGGAAGCTGACTGGAGCTACTGCTCGGTTTATGGCTTAGTTCCCTAACGGCCATAGCTATGGGGTCGATCTGCCAATTTTCGGTTTAGGGCTTGAACAGGGTTCCGAGAATCCGGGGAATGTTCATTTTTCGCTGATTTATGGGTAGTTCCATGCATCTTTTCTGGACCTTTCCCTTTATTCCCGCATAAAACCCCGGTTGGCAAGTGTTTTCCCCAGATTCTATCAAAAACTCTCTGTGGGTAAATCTTCTTTAGATTTGCCTCGATTTCCCCTCCGGGTCTTTTGCGGGCAGAGGAGCTGCGCCAACTCACCGACGCGGCGAGGCGGCGCGACGGCGAGGCCTTCCGCAAGACCATGGCGCGCCTGGAGGCGTCCGACGGTGGGGGGGGTGGGGGGCTGGCGGGGGGCTGGGGTTCGGTTCGGACGCATGCCCAAGGGGTTTCCATGGCAAGGATTTACGCCCGGCAAGCTGCCTAAGTCTTGCTAGTGGTTGTGAGGACTTCCCTATCATTCGGATCAAGTAGGCCTTGATTTTGGGGATAAGGTCTGTGGACCGATTTGCGCAGCTGCGTGTAGCGATCTCGAGCGAAACACCCGGTTTGGTTGTCATGAAGGCCACACTCCTTGTCCTCATGTCTTGGGCAGCAAGCGGTGCAAGCGACATGGAGCCGCTGTCCGTGGCTCGCCGGCTGCAAATCGACGCCGCTTGCATGAGCTCCTGCCCTGGTCTGGACACCTTTTCCATGGAACTGGCGAACTTCAGCCAGCAGATGGACGGTGCCGGGGAGAACGCGATGGACATGATCGGCGGCATGTTCGATGTGATGTGCACTCACCAGCCCGCCATGACTTGCCTGTCCACTCAGTGCACGCCACCCGCCGAGCTCCAGTCAATGATCCCACTTTTGGACTGCGTTTGTACTGACTGCCCTTCCTTCAAGAACCTCTATTCTGGACTGGCCTCGGTGATGACAACCATGCTCTCGTCCATGACTGGGGCGGCGGCCAATATGACCGCCGTGATGCTAGCGGTATGTCCCATGATCGGGCCCCTGGAGTGCGTGACCAGCAGCAGCGCCTGTGCACCGGTACTGAATCAAACCGCCGGCCTTAGCGGCATGACCGTCATGAAGGACAACTGCACCTCCGGCGGCTACAGCACCGGCACCAACGACCTGGCGACCACCACAACCGAGAGCGGGGGGCAGATCTCCTTGGCGGCTTTGGCAGTGCCGGGGATTGCAGGGATTGCAGCCATGCTCGCTGTCATGTGAGGACTGGGAGGACTGATGGCCAGCTTGATAGGCCGGCCAACCCGCTTGGCAAGCCGCTGTTCCCATGGATTCTCTAAATTGACACTTCAACGCCCATTCCACCATTTAGTGTGCCAGCATTGTTTGAACCTTTTGTCGTGACTTGCAGTGACAGGCGTAACATCAATTCCGAGGATGGCTGTGGGAACGTGTGCTGTCGCTCTATCCTCTTGCTGGAGGTTGCAAAGGCGGCTTTCTGAATTATCAGCGGGAATTCGGAGTGATGCAGATGTCATTTGTGGGTATCCCTATTTCATGGTGTTCAGCTGCCGCACTTTGTGATGAGCGCGCAACATTTGCTTGTCTTTTTTTTGGTCATGGCAAAGCCAATCATGTGGCCAGACACTTAGTGGCACAGGACAAAACAGGTGAGGGCACCAACCGAGAGGAAGAGCGACGCTTCCAGCGAGCCTGGCAACCGCATGCAAGAAACAAAGGCTGAAGTCACGAAACAAACGTTGAAGCCACGAAACGAAGGCAGTTAAGGGAGAAAGGGTCGAGAGTGCTGGTGCACTTCTAGGACCCTTGTACTTGCGTTTGACAGCGCACACTTGCACTAAGTTTGCCTAGCTTCGAATTGTAAACGCTTCGCGTTGCCCGCCTCGGCCCAGCCTAGTTTGAGGGAAGGGTCAGGAACGACTGGGGGGCTGGGGCACGTCAGACAGGCTTAGTAGCTGGCGTAGCTTGAGACCAGTCTCAGGCACGTGAGACTGGTCGTTGGCCTGAGGCCAGTCTCAGACACGTTAGACAAACCTGACCTTGGCACGCTGGGCTGAGCCTGCTGGTGGGCTGGGAGCTAGTGGCTGGCATGCCCTGAGATGCGCCGGGGCCTGGGCTGGGCAGGCTGGGCTGAGGTGGGTTGCTGGTTGGGCTGGGCCTGAAGCTAGTCTCAGCCACGAGGCTGCGAAGCCATGGGTGGGTTGCTGGCTGCCGGGCAGCCGGACTGAGCTGTGCTTGGGCGGGTTGCTGGATGGGCAAGGCCTGTTTCATACACACTTGGGCCTGAGGCTGGGTGGCGAGTTGCTGGCTGGGCTGGGCCTGAGGCCAGTTAAGTTCAGACTTGACCAATCTGATCGTTGTGGATACAAGACGCGTACCCTTCCCCTTGTATGCAAATAGAAGGACCTCCGAAAAGTGGAGTCGCCTTGGGGTCTCCCTACGTGGGCAATGTTAATAAGGGACCTCTTGTGAGGTTCCCTATTGGAATTCATAGCCACGTAGCAACCGTTCCACCAGTCATAGGTGTCCTTTGGTGGTTGAACACAGGCGCGGATTTTTGATTCATTCCGTTTGCCAGAGCCATCGATTTGTCCAAAACACCTAGGTACTCACGTCCAGCATGGGTTTGTCTTTTTCTGAGGCTACCGCTTTTCTGTGATTCAGGGTCTTGTTTAAGCATATTCTACATTGTGCTCGCGATTCTCTGAATATAGGCCATATATTATAACATATGATTTTAGGCTGGGGGGCAAAAGCTGGGGTAGCTTTTTGTTGGGGCTACAGGAAAGCCAAAGGGACACCAGCTGAGGGTTCCATTTTTTGGATTGCCCCCAAGGTTTGCAAGGACTGAACGGTTTTCTTCAAACCCGGATTGCTGGATTTGCCCAGTTTGGATATGTATCGAAATAGGGGAACCCCCGAAAATAGTTGGCTTTCGTCTGATTCCCTTGAAACCCAGGACTAAAAGGGTACCCTCAGAAGAATTTCAGCTGCCCGAAGGATCTTTCCGGCTACACCGAGGAGGACGTCAAGGCGTGCAGCGGGTTGCATTGCCGTCAACCAACTCGGTTTATATTTTGTGCAATGTGTAGGGTTGAGTTCGGTGTACAATAGCGGGGGCAATTGGGTTCGTGACTTGAGATTTCACAAATTCTCGCACTCTTTGTTTGTCTTTGAGCACATTCCAGGGGGTAATCCACAGCTGGGGCATCAAACACAGATCCTAATCAACTTGGACAGTTTCATAGGGGTTTGACGCATCAACACACACCAGGGTTCCATCTTGCTTGATGTCCCTTTAAGACAGCATATAAACTGTTGATGAGTTAAACGTGATTTGTTTGCAGGTATGTTCAAAGAGAAACCCCGTGAAACCTTTCCCGCCCTTCGTGTTTCTGCTATGATTTGTTCTGTTCATGGTGTGGGCTTCACACCCTGTTTGCAAGCACAGGATTGGGATACCTCGGGAAGAACCATCTCCCCTTCCCAAAGCGAATCGACCTTGTAGCATTTGGGCTTTCCCCTGTCCAGTTTACCCTCTGGTGATCCCATAAATTCTTCCAGGACCCGACATGGGAAGAGGACTTCCTCTCCAAAGAGATACCTGTTGGCTTCTATGTTAAGGCAGGGTAAGTCAAAGCATCCCCAGCTGGTCTTCTTTGAAATCAAGGCAGTCTGATTGTTTGTGGGGCAGCTGAGATAGACGATAGATGCTAGCCGGGTGAGGCAAGGTAACCCGAAAGGCCAGCTCGTTCTGTGTCCAGCTCTTTGGCAATTTGCTGGTTCTCAGGGAATGAGCGGATGACACCGAGAAACAAAACTTATCCCTTGTGACTCCCTTTAAGAGGATCCTCAATAATGCATTCCCAGCTCTATGCCTCGGGCCACTGGGTTCCTTCCGAAGCACTCAGCCGCGATCGCCGCCCGCTTTGCTAGGGCGGGTTACGGTCCTAATGTAAAACCGGGCAGGTTACTGTACCCAACGAAGCGTTTGGGCAATAGCAACGTCCAACGAAGCGTTTGGGCAATAGCAACGTCACTGGGGTGTGACGGCACCACCGTATGAAAGGGGTCCCTGATTTCCTCTGGGTGCGACACGATCAATTGCCCAGACTCATTCCCCTTTAAGAGGGTTATAATTAGTTGTAATCCAACAAATCACAGGGCACCAGTGGCGTCCTTTTCAGACCCCTTTGAATCATCCCCACTCAATAATGTAGGGGAAGAGTGGAGGTAACCTCAATAAAGGGCCGTGTCCCAGGCACGTTTCCTTCGCAAGGCAATGATGCATGGGAGGAGCCTGAGCCATTTTCTGTCCCAACAGACCTTTCCAAGTATCTTCAAGGGAGGTACCTCACCCCCTTCACCTTCTTTTAGCCCGCCAAAACCATCCTCAGGGAGTAGCTAATAAGGTCAGGGGGAGGAGGGAAGGGTTCTTCCCTTGATTTTGACAATTAAGCTACATGCTTTTGTGTTTTGCCTAATTCCTCAATCAAGGGATCCCCAAGAAAGGGACCTTTATGCTGGAGTCTTTATCAAGTACAAGCCACTTCACCCCCTTTTAGTCTCCAATCTCCAAGAACATCCGTGGGGCTTCCAAGGGACCGTCTGGCGGATTTTCCATGGCCCCTCCATTCTGCGCCAGTCCGCACTGGTCCTGGAAGAAGAGCACCGCAAGGGGCTCGCGACCTTCCTGAACCTCGGCCGCGCATTCCACGGAACGTCGAAGTCGAATACGCTCGGACCCCGAAGTCTTCTCTGTCTGTTTTTGTCTCCGAGTAGGTTTTGCTTTTCGGGTTGACGAAATATGAACCGAACAGTTTTTGTGTACCCCGGAGTTGGGCCAATTAGTCCCACAGCGCCAAACATGTCCCGGCATCCAGCAGGTTCAACTCCTACCTGGTTTGCAGGGGGTCATAATTAGCAAGTCCTCTTGAATTGCACGGGTTGGGCAAATTTGTTTGAACAGCCGGAGCCTGGGCCCCTGTCAAAGGAAACTTAAAGGCGGTGTAAAGAAAGTGGTTCAAGTTTGCAAGTGCTTGGTTCAACCCGTCTTTCCCATTTGAGCAGCCCCCAACACCACTGTCAGTTTTGGTACGGCTTCACTAGATTCACTAGATCATAGTGATGCTTTCATGACCCTTGAGATCCATGTTGGTAGAACTCATGTGACATTTGAGTCACAGTAGGATTCGCGGAGAAGCAAGAAACCAGAGGACCTATGGTGTCTTTAAGAGATATTGGTCCAAGCGGAATGCTATTGAAACTGGACCCAACGCTCTTTTTGCCGCTGGCCCCTATATTTGAGATTCCACCAAATCACTCCCAGACCAGCCACTGTGCCTCTTGCAAATGGGGCGAACAGCCTCCTAAATGGACTTACTGGGTTTACCGGCTTGCCCATTTTGTTTTTACACCGAGGCTTTTGGGTTGCCTTTCGGCCAGGAAGCAACAGGGCCAGCACGTGAGCGCTTCGAGCAAGCGGGGAGAAGCTCTGGCCAAAGGCTTGAGCCACGCCACGCGGCTCGGCGAAATCTGAAAAGTCCCTGATCCATTTGGGAGGGACATGGGGGATGAGCTCTGAAAAATCCCCCACAACCAGGGGACTCTATAAATGTCCCCAATGGGGGGAACACGTAATGTTGACCTGAAGGAGGTAAGTCCCATCGACTCAAAGGGGAAAGAAGTTTCCGCGCTATGAGCGATTCCACCGTTTGTTTGGGTGGGACACGCGATTTTACTCTCTGATGAGAGTTCCTTACTCAGGGACTTCATGTCCCAAATAATGCAGCGGGGGTGTCGGCTGTTCTCGACGCTGCCATAGCAGGGCTCCACCTGCACCTGCAGAAAACATTGGCTCAGAACCGAAAGCGAAGTCCTGGAGAGATCCCATTGTCAAGGAGCCATTTTGAGAAACTCCCAAATATCAGGCAAACATCTGGTGACTCAGGTCACCCTTTTTGCAGGATTATTGGTTTTCTTTTGTCTTAACATGTTGAATCCGACTTTGCATTAATTTGCCCAGATCAGTGAACGAGCTCGTGCCGTATGATGAATATCATTGTAGTAAAACTTGCGGATCCCTTGCATGGCGATGCAAAGCCGTCCGACAAAGGGTCCTCTTGCGATGTTCAGGATTCTTGTTTGTTGGGTGGCCATGATGCATCATGGTGGTCTGAACATCAGCTTTCGGGCCAGTTCCCCTGACTGACTGACCCGCCTGATCATTTCGGGCCAAGGTTAATGGGCCAAGGTTAATGGAGTTTCCAGTGAGAGTTCATTCTCAAGGGATATTATTTTTATGAGGAACCCTGCTTTTTGATACACAACCAAATCCAGTTACTCAACTCAGAAGAGCACACCTCTTTCGCAGCATTTCCTGATGTCATTGGTTGGTGAAGATGGTGGCTTAAGTTTTTGGTGGTCATGGACGAAAGTGAAGAAACCTGCCACAGACAGGTGACGGACATGCACCACATCGGGTTTAGGTCTTGAATGTCCCTACATGTACACCCACTTGATTTTACCACAGAGGAAGCCTGGGTTCAAGTCTGGGCAAGCAACAAGTGCAACGCTGGCATATGACCCACGGTCAAAGTTAATTGTAAACGCTTCGCGTTGCCCGCCTCGGCCAGTCCGCTTGCGGCTCTCTTTGAGGTATATACCATTGTTTTGTGGTTGCGTAAACTAGTGCACCTGCGGGGCCTCCTCC